ATAAGGCTTTCAGAAATATATAACATGTTGGATTTATAATACCATCTTCATAATATAATTACTCAATTAAAAAGCAAGCCAAATAAACTGCATCTCTACCTTAAATTGATCAATCAATTAAGTATTAATTTTATAAAATTTTTCAGACATTCTTCGACCCCTAATTTTGTATCAGTCAAATACATTAGACATATGCTTACATCTCTTCCAAGGGGGATTTAGATTATAAAACGATCTAAATCCAACTTTAAGCCTATAAACGTTCCATTGTTTTAGTGCCAAACCCCTTTGTTAAGTACAACAATAAATATTTCATTGGTGTTTGTTAGCTCTTGTGTAATTGGTCAATGCATGGACAGCCCCTCCAATTCTGTTTTTCACTCCCTATCAATTCGGGCCCTGTTTAACTCCGGTTACGTATAAACACAACTCTCTTGACTGAGATCTGTGTTGAAAAGTAATCTTTCGTTGTTGTGATGTACGCAATACGATGAACAACTTATGTTTTTTAACATTACTTCACCCATTAACAATTCGCCCCTAGACGTGATAATTTCATTTCAATAGTAAAAATCCGTTGTCAAAAATCTAAATATTCACAACCTCATCGAAATCTATTTTCTATTTATACCCACAAGTCACACCCAGAGCATTCATAAAAAAACGAATGGTCCGGGGTATACTAGTACTCTGACCCATGTCGAAGACTGTGCAATGCTATATGATAAATCAGACTAAATATCACGTGAAACTAAATGAAAATCATTTTAAAATAACACAATTTCACACAACCAAATGTTGTTGTTTAATGTCTTACATTATCTCGGTGATAACTCCGAAAGTGAAGTATGATATCTTCAACAAAACGTAGCCGTGAATAATTTCCAATTTATTTTTCGACCGCGTGAACCCAGAAATATTGCTCGTCTGCTCGCTCGCATTTTAAATACATGGCCGTAGAAAACACATATATAATTTTCTGGTTTCTCTGCTTTCTGCCCTAAGGAGTTAGCATTGCCTGTATTACATGAATGTATCGATAATCATTTGGTTAAAACGAGGTAGCAGCCCTGGATTCAAACGGAACACAGTACTGCTCTATCAGCTTGTTGAGGAACATTCACTAAATAAGAGGTCATAGTTCAAGTTGCGTTCGTGAACGATATAAAGTCTGAAGCGTCGTTTGGAATTAAATAATGGTTAATACTCACTGAATTCTCACACTTTAGCATTAAAACAACCATTTCGACAACACAA